GCAACAATCCAATCACAATTGACGGAGGATTTGGAAGATGTAAAAACCTTTACATATTTGGGCAGTATCATCGATGAACAGGGTGGGTCTGATGCAGATGTGAAGGTGTGGATCAGCAAAGCAAGAGCAGCATATTTACAACTGAAGAACATCTGGAACTCAAAACAATTGGCAACCAACACCAAAGTCAGAATTTTCAATACAAATGTCAAGACAGTTCTACTGTATGGGTCGAAACCTGGAAAACTACGAAATCCAGAAGATACAGGTGTTTATTAACAGTTATCTACGCAAAATACTTCAGATCCGCTGGCCGGACGCTATTAGCAACAACCTACTTTGGGAGAGAACAAACCAGATCCCAGTGGAGGAAGAAATCAGGAAGAAGCACTGGAAGTGGATAGGACACATATTGAGGAAAGCACCGAACTGCGTTACAAGACAAGGCCTCACATGGAATCCTGAAGGCCGAAGGAGGAGAGGAAGACCAAAGAATACATTACGCCGAGAAATGGAGATAGATATGAGAAAACTGAACAAGAATCGTGTGGAACTAGAAAAGAAGGCACAGGACAGAGTGGGTTGGAGAATGCTGGTCGTCGGCCTATGCTCCATTATGATTAACAGGCGTAAGTAATTAAGTAAGCGTACGTTGAAGGCTCCAATGTGTAGTTTGGAGCGTGGTTTCAGTAAACCTGGGACAGTGTTTTGCGCACAAGAATCGTTGGCTGTGTTGGCACTTGAGAAGGAAGCCAAAAGAGGATGTTTAATGTTGAAGGTCGCTGTATGAGGAATAATAGGAACTGAAGAAAGAGGTTGATTATGAATACAGTGGTCTTGAGTGCTGTTAGAGGTATAAGGGCGGTTATCACTTCCCGGTTGCCCACACCGTGGAAGGGTTCTGCTGGAGGTGCTTGAAAAAGAAATTGGATTAGAGGTGGTGTTAGTGAATTGAGAGCGTGACCGCAGTACCCAAGGGACAGCTGCTTGAGGTCGGTCACACACGACCTTTTTATGAGTTATTTTTGTGTTAGCTCCGTACTTGTTGAGACCTTACCGCCGGAGACGGATATCCGTGGGATAAGGCGAGGTGTGCATTTTTAGGGTCGACCTTTTCTAACCCCTTCCCTCCTTGTGGGAAGGCAGCATCGCTGTTATGCTGGTTGTCTGAAGGAAACACCTTACTGCTGTCACACCTCCATACAGTCAACAGTACGACTTCGCCTTCGGACCTTGGTTTTGTTGCTTTTAGTCTTACCGCTCTTCAACCGATCTGTCTGGCATGGTAGGACCTTGAGGAACGGTTGTTCCAGCCAGTATAACTCAGTTGCTTCATCACGGTAGGCAAGCCCAACCACCACGTCAAGGTAGCAACAACGGTCAGGTGTAACACAGTGGCTAGAGATGTTATAAGATATGGCTCAGAATAGAAGCCAGTGGCGATCCTGCTATAACCTTCTTTTACTTCAGAAAAAGTGGCCATGCATTCCTGTTTCTCTCATTATTATTATTATTATTACTATTATTATTATTATTATTATTATTATTATTATTATTATTATTATTATTATTATTATTATTATTATTATTATTATTATTATTATTATTTCACTACCATACACTAATTTGTGGTCGTTATTGTTCTTTTTTTCTTTTTACACGCACCCTACATTCTTTATCTCTTCCCATTTTCATTATTATTGTGTGGCGCATATGTATCTGGTGCCCCCTTGTACGAATATTTATGTGTTTAAATATATAAATAAATATAGCTAGGTTGCTCCCCAAATTTACGATCAAGAGTCGTTTAGGCATTATGTCTGATTTAGTATGGGGTCGTAATATCTGTCGTTGTTTCCTGGTTCCTAGTCCTCTTTATATTGATATCAATCCATGATCAAATCCCTTTTCAAATGACTTGTGATTGCAATATCGTTTTTTGCTTTTAGTCTGGAAAAATTTACTGGTTGCTTACTTTGTGGTTATTTTCAATTTTTGTCAGTATTGAGTTAGTTATTCATTTTAAAAATATAAGTCACTGATCCTTAGTGATGTTTATCTAATTGATCACATTTGATTTTATTTGACTACAGGTCATAGTGTAAGACATTTTAATTTCTCCTCCGACCGTCATCTTTCACGCCGTCACAGTCTTTCAGGAACTTATCACCAAGTTGTATCTCTTGACGCTGATGAAGTCGATCGTAATAGTATTGCCTACTGTGACAACGAAACCAACCCTCTTCTTTCAAATCAGGAGTCAAGTTCTGATGTAGGAATTGGGTCTGAATTACTTCGTGTTAGGAATTCTGGTGATAATATTCAAAATGAAAAGATAGTCTAACTCTAATAATGAAATTATTCTTTACTTACTTGTAATAATTCATGTAATGCTACGTATTTTAAATTTTTTTTTCTTTTAACCCTCACATTTATCTGATATTTTCATCTTATCATGTGTAAAACAGAGCCAACGATTATAACGTATGTATATCTCTCTTATTTTTTTATAAGAATATCTTTGTGTACAAAAGTTCTATTTCTGCTTATCTTTACTTGTAATTAATTTGCTTGCTAAATAATAAAGTTGTTGATTTTCTCTTTTGTCTTTTATTCTGTCAAATAGTAAATATTCTAATCAGGTTGTTGTGAATTTACAGGAGCATAATGTGATATTTTGTTTGTTAAACGTTTCAATAAAAATAAGCTTTCGTAATTAATTACAAATATTTGTGTAATTATTATTTTCGGTCACTTTACGTTTGTACTCAACTTGTATTATAACAATAATTTCTTTGAAAATACAGCATAAAATTATAATTTTGAAGGTGTTCTAGATGAGGGCTAGCATAAACCTAAAGTTATGTGTTAGAATGATGAATAATTGATGTTTGTTGATCTAGAGCTCGTTTTAATATACTTTGAGGTATGTAAAATAAATTGACATTTTTAGTTATTAATTAAATGTTTTATTGAACAACTAAGAAATTAGTTACCTTCCCTAATTACAGGTCCAAATCCACTTTTAAATTTGTTAGTCAAATAACATCGTCCTAACGTATAAACCAGGGTCAAGGATGTCGTTTAAGTACTGTTCATTGATGGTTCGCGGTAATATATATGCTAATCACTATCACGATAGAAACCATTTAAGAGGAGACATCTTACATTTCTGTTGAACTTTGTTGATTTCTATGTATGTGTTTTAGTAGTCATGAATTTCAAAGTATTGGTCATCTCAACGAATAAAGCACTCGGTTTTCAGGCATTGACCTTAGTTTCAAAACCGATTCGACCTGCTTCTGGTTGTGGAAAGCGGTGGTATCAGTATTTCTTACATTAGTATGACTCAGATCTAAGAATAAACTAAATTTCATCTGGTTAGTGAGTTGCATTCGTAAAATAAATAATGGTATTTATTTACAGCATTGTTTAGCAAAGCCTTCGTATGGTTGAACTTGATGACATGTTACTAATCTCCCTTCTTAAAAAAGAGGCAGAGATTCACTTTGCGATGATATTTAATAAATAATTTTGTCTAGTATATGGTTATCCGATGTTTAGGCGGAACCGGAAAAATTTAATATCTATTTGATTTTGGTTCTAAACTTCACTTTTGTGAGTTTGAAGTAAATTTCGCGCCTATTTTCCGTCTACTAATAAATTTGGGATATTTGATTAGTAGTATATATCTTTTTTGATTGTGAAATGAAGAGACTTAGGTTGTATAAAAATATGATTTTTCTGTAACCTGTCTTTAACCTTTACCTACATCAATTTAAGCTGTTTACTGTATTTCGCTGTACAAACTAACAAAGGTAGAAGACTTCAGTAAGTTACTAGCGTTTGTTGACATATATCTTCATAGGATTTATAACATCATCAATTGAGTAATTCTGAGGTCAAGCGTAGGGTTCGGTGTAGGTATATTAAGTTGTTTGATGAGTACACAAACCTCTCATCTTTTGTTACTCTCACTGTTATCTGGAATAGAGTAAGCTAGTAAAAAAACTAGCATGAAATAAAACATGGGATCAGTTTATAAGGTCATTGACTTCTGATGCGTTGTATCATTACGTCTAGTTTTGAACTTCCGGGTTACGATACTTGTGATAATCATAATCCATGATTATGAGCGTTGGGTGGCGGCTTAAAATTGACCATAGTAGTGTCACCGCACTCATTGTTTATTGTCCTCATATTCTTAACTTTCACATCATTTATTCCCTTCAGAATTCATGTTTGATGTATGACTATTCATTGTATTGGGTACTATTTTTCCTCCCTTAATTCTCATCCTATAAGTTTCACTTATCTATTCGGTGATATGAGGTGTGAGGTGTTGGGACGATGCACATTTTTCTAAGGTCCCACGTTTTCTATGACATTAACTGGCTAACTCTGAGTTACAAACTATCGTTAATATTACCATCAACAAACGTAACTTGTTAACCTTTGTTTATGCAATATGTATAATAAACATTTGATAGTTTCAATGATCTGAAGTTGTAAAATGTGAATACTGGTATTACATTCAGAAGAAAGAGTATGTTCATGTTTTATAATTAGTCTTGAGAAGAAAGAAGTCTGAATACTAGCTTGCAGTAATAAGTTAAATCAGACTTCATGTTTTTCAGAGTAAGTCGAAGTTTATCATGCCTATCCTCATTTATAAATAAAGTTTTTTCTCTCCAAGGTTTTGATGACAACCCTATAATTAGATTGGTCATTAGGCAGGTATTAATAATGATAAATTTCCCTAATAAAATGTTCAAAGTTTGTTGATTACACCATACAATACAATTCTTGTTTCCATTTGTGGGCATTACAATTAATTTTATCCTAAATCGTCAGATGTCAATATAAGTGCCTCAGCAGATATTTTTTATAAGGATACCTAGATTAATTATTCTAAATCCATTCTTTTTACATTACTCCGTGTTTGCTTTTGTCTGGTAAAATTGTAAACAAAGTATTATTTTGCAGATTGTTTTGGAGGGATGAGACAATCAAGTTTACTAAATTTTTTTGGTAAGGTAAGTACACATCCCTTTCATTATGGGTTGAAGTTTTGTGAATAATTTCTCTATTCTATATGGTTTATTTACTACTCACCACTAGTAATTAGTTGATTTCGTTTTTCATGCAAATCACAGCTTGGTGCAAAAATTGTGCTTTCATCAAGTATAATTATTAATTTTGTAGCAGTGTTTTCCAATCTCTACATCAAATGGATTACATACTGTTAATCATGTAGGCTTATGGACGTGTTTAAGACTGTGACGTTTCTCACAGCTACTAAAATTTTTTTTTGCTATTTTCATGGCATTTCATAAATACGGTCAAGTCTTATTTACTCTTTCCAATGATTTGACGGTTGACTTGGGGATTATTTTGATTTTCTATATGGTTGTAATTGTAGGTATGGCCAGTCTATTTATGTCAACTCTTGTCTAATCAGCAGACAAATTAACTGAATATTAGTGAATAATCAGAAAAGTCATTGTTAGCTGGTTACAGTGTAATGTTTTACAGTTGTAGCTTGAGTTATAGACGGGTCTCCCGAATACACATCGACGATGATTATTCTAGAAGTTGGTATTGTTTAAAAATGGACCACAGTTTACACGTGCATGCGGATAAAAAACCTGCTTGTCCTGTCTGTGTGCAACAACCACCCATTAACCAAGCAAACGACTATGTGTTTACTTTCGTAACGTGCTTATTCAAGTATACAATTAATATCACTTCAGTTGAATGTGATAAGTAGTGATACTGATTATAGACCGAACCCGAAACAAATGATTTCCGTAGAGTGGGTTCATATGCTGTTCATGTTATTAGGATAGCAAACTCCATAAAAATCACTCTCAGAGTCCTAGTTTACCAAGTACCACTGTATATATTTGTGTTCATTTAATTTATTCTATTATGATTCATGCTGTTATAAAATCTATCGTCTTTATTTCAACCTCATGTTAATTTTTTTTTTGTTTGAATAAAATAGAAACCAGAAGTTTCATCAGTTACGTCCTTGCATAAATCGCCAAATAAAGTTCTTGGACTTATAGGTATCCTACTGCTTATTTTTATTGTCAGTTTTTTTTAGAATTTTTCTCGCTTGTTGTTTCAACTTCTTAAATTAATGTAATCAAGTTTTGCAAAAGTTACTTAAATATAACGGTTTATGGTAACTCATTATTAAATGGTCCGAATTCCAGAATACACGAACTTCCAGACCATCTTTTAGAAAGTCATCACCGAGAGTATGTTTATATTCTGGTCCATGTTTCCTTCTGTTGTGTGATGTACATTTCATGCTTACAATTTCAGTGTTAATATTTTTATAATTTGTTTTTGTAGTAAGTACTTTGTAGTAAGCAAACATAATCTTATAGAGGATATATTTCCCCCAATATCTTCGCAAATTCGATAAAATGACAACCCTAGTTAATTTTCCATCCACAAATATTTCTAGTATTGTATTGGTGAATCAGAATTTGACCTTAGATTCATACTTATTTTTCTAATGTTCGTTTCTTAATCTGTAGAATCAAAGCACTCTAGTTGTGACGAAAGCTTCATTATTCCTGGAACACCCGATCCTACTAACAGAACGTTAGGAGTTTCGTTAAGTGGTAGAGCAGCTTTAGGAACTGTACACATTGACAAGGTTTCATCTCCAAAGTTATGCAAACGGAAAGTTGTTGCTCGTCGTTCATCGCTTGCAGTTCGTCGTGATGAGATTCTTCGACCAAAGCTGCATGATTTACTTTCTAATGATCCCATCTATGAAAATGAGAATCAAAAAGTGTGTTCTAACAGACAAGCACAAATTTCCGCTAAGCTCCGTCGAGGAAACTATGACCTTTTAAATTATGCTCCTCAGGATCAAATTGTAAAACCAACATCAAAGGAGAGTGAATTTAATGATGTAATATCGCATCGTTCTGCGATTACTAGTAACCGTGCTAAAAAAAATGGTTTCCACGGCATTGCTTACTTGTTCGGCATCGAAGCGCAAAGCACCTGAAATTTCAAATTTATATTCCCCAGATTCGCCAAATTATCGAAAGCCAAACAAATGCAGCGTTTCTAATCCTGAAGGTGCAAATGCATCAGAAAGGGATACAAATTCGAAACATTCTTTTACTAGAGAAGTCCACCTAAATGCTGAAGAATTGTCCGCATTAGATGACATTTTAGACCAACTTGTCAGAAAAGATAACCTACCCAGTCATAAGCATACTGAGCAAGAAGCTGTCACTCTAGATTCATTACCAATATATTGTCATAATGAACACAATAGACAATCCTCTGTACATGATGAGACATTTCAGTTGCTGAATTTAAGTGACTGGTCACCTGTTAAGGAAGAGTTAACTATGTAAGCAGTTTATTGTTTTTTTTAACTGGATCTATTTATGACGCTCTGAGTCTGTGTATTTGTTGATAAGATTAATTCGGAAGTAGCTTCTTGTTATTATAATCGTTTGTAATTGAAAAATTTTAATAGTTAAATTCTAACTCTTATTTGATAATAACGTAAAGACTTTGTTCTCATCCCTTTTCTTTTGTGCCTATTGTTTCTCAAGGGCAAATAGACCAATTAGTTAAGGACGTTGAAAATGGTTCCGATGTTATTTAAAAATCAATTTGAAATCAAACGTCCTGATAGTTAATACCTATTTTTTTTACAGTTCTAACAAATTAACAACAGAGGAGCACACCGAGGCATTACAAATATAAAGAATAAATGCACACTGTTATTCATTGCTCGATTATGTATAGTCAAACTTGAGTTGGACCAATGATGCATAGTTTTTAGCTGCGTACATCATTCCAACCTTAGATTTAGAGTTAATTAATTTTGTTTGTAATACTTACATTAGTGCGTGTGTTGCCATCCAGAATATGTTTTTTTCAGATTGTAGTGGTTAACGTTTATACGTTGTATATGTTATAATTACAGTTATTGAATCCCAACTATGTAAATGTAATTTGTGGGGTTGCTGTGCTGTTCAACAAAGTGATGCATTTTCCATAATCAAGTATATGACCAATCCTATCAGTTTTTGAGTAGGTTTTCTGGTATTTTCCACATAAATAACTGTAGTACATTGGTGTCCTTGCTATCTACTGAAGTATATCAATGTAGTTGTAAGGAATTCACAAATTTCTGTTTTGTCTATACATCCTTCTCACAGTAAAAATCCAATTTACTCATACACTGTTGTCATTGATTGGTTAGATATGGATTTTATTATCCACCTAATAATTTTCTATTTACTGGTAAGGGTTGTAAGAGGAGTAGTCTGCAATTCGATACTTCTTGATTGCCTTAAACAAAAGTGGTGGCTGAATTATTTGTTGAACTTATAATTAATTGAGTCTAAAATGCAGTTTGTAATGCGAAGAAACACAAGATTATTTTCTAAAGTTTTGAACTAGATATGAACCATGTGTGTTGGTTGGTGAATAATGACACTAATTAACAGGTAGTTATTAAGAGATGTTATTATACGTAATGTGCCATAACTACATATTTCTTTACTTGGGCAGATACATTTGTTTCATAGTTTGTCAGTAGAGTATTTGCTCATGATCCATGGTAATTTTTTCCGATTTTAACCGTACACAGTTTCACAGTGTATGGCGATTTTCTTTCTTATTGCCAGAATTATTCATTATCCAAATGTTTCTTTTTCTTGCAAAGGTTAAAACAACAGCGTACTGTTGACGATCAGTTATTTCGAATTCCGGACCAATCATTTTTACGTGGGACTGTTGTGCAAATAAATAACAAATGGTCGGTTATCATTAGTTTGTCTAATGAAATACCTTTTATATTTATATGTTTAAATTATCAGAATTAATTTGTTTGATTAATCGAATTTTTTAGTTATGTTTTTTTGCGTTTATGTTGTTGCAGTTAATATTAAAACGTCCATTATGTAGAAAGAGACTGTAAAATGTACTCGGTAATCTTATATTGGTATTTAAACTACTCCAGTCTTGAAAACTTTATCACATAAAACATTTCGGCGTTTCCTAATAATTCGTTTGGTGCTATGCATCAAAACTAATAACATGATGTATTACTTGGTACCTTAGCACTGTGATTAAAATCATAGCTTACATTTTCATCGTTTATTTTATTCTGTTGTATATTCTTAACTACTTCTCCGTTCCTCGACACAACTACAACTCATAGGAAGGCATTTCTATGAGTTGTAGTTGACCTAAGAGTATTTTAGATGAGTTACGAGTTTCCAATTAACTCGGTTTCAGGAATTAATACTCTCATTTAAGTGTTCCCGAGGTTAATCAGTACATGTTGTTCAAGGACTTTGTGAGTAATTGTATGATTATTCATAAAAAACACTTAAGAAATGTTATTCAATCCATGGAGTAGTATTTAACAAGCTACTTGAAAAAATACTGATTTTATGTCAGTAAGGTCATACAACAACGACAATCGCATTTATTTTACGATAACTTCGACATCATTTCATACTGAAAAAATGTATATCAATGAGAATTTAAATACACTTTTTTCTTTCATTCAACATTTGTCATTACTAATTTTTGAAAATTTGCACGACTTTATAACTATATGTTTTACACCTTTTCTTCTTATAAGAATTTATGTGTAACTGACAGTTTAGATATATTCATCTATTTTTTTTCTGTTTTTTTTGCTTGCTCGTTTTATTAAGAATTCACACTGTGTGAACAAAATTCACTAAGTTGAACCAAATAAACTGATGTTCTGGTTCACATACTAGTATAGTATAAATAATACTTCATCTGTACAACACAATTGGATATGTCAATCTGATGGATTTATTTGCTAAAAAATTATTCATTTATAATTGTTCCAGTAATTGTTTTTTTCCCATTGTACTGTTTTGTTGTACGTATTTCACCTTGGTTACGTATATTAATTATGCTTGATTAATCCAGAAATCTTTTTTTCATCAAATGTAAGCTTTCATTGTCAGAAAAAAAAGAAAATCATAGGCTTTATGATTAACGTGCTGTGTTTAAATGATTACCGTCATTCATTTTAACTTTTTAAAGACACAAAATACGGAAGAAAAGAACAAGCAATAATAGTTCAATAAAGAGTTTTCTTTTTCCAGTGATTCCATTCTCTAAAAGTTACACATGCTCAGTGAAATTCATGTTTTTGATTTGTTTGGTACACCACAATTCTTTTGAATAAATCTTAGCAAATTAAAGAAGTAAACAATCATGAAAGATCACCGAAATTCGCATAATTTACACAGAAATCGGATAAAAGTATTCGAGATTGGATAAATAACTGCGTTTATGTTTTAGAAATAAAGTCAGTCAGATGCTGTCAGAGGTATGAAATCGGTTGTTACTTCTTAGATGCTCACGTCCTGGAAGCATATTTCTTTAGGTAGCTATAATTAAAACTGGTTTAATATTAGCATTAACGACCTAAGGGATAACCACACAGCCCAAGGGCAAGTGCTTGATTTTGGTTACATATAGTTTTTGTGCATGAATTCCTTGATGTAATACCTCGGTACTTAAAAAAAATTACCTCAGAAGACGTAAATCTGCGGACTAAACTAAGATGTGCTATTTTTAGGGCCCGATTTACGGTTCTCTAACCCACCTGACCTTTTTGACACGACCTAAAGAAACAATTGTTCTATCCATAGAACCCAGCTGGTTTATCTTAGTAAACATGTCTGATTACTACGTCACGGTAGCTGCTATAGTCAGGTAACAAAATGTGTTCAGAAAAGAGTATAAGAAAAATAACTGAATAAATTTCTACTGAAAAATCAATTATGTAGTTAAAATTTTGTCGTGCTTAGCTAAAACTCGTATAAATACGACGAAGAAAGTGACTGTTTGTACACACCTCATGACTGTTTATTTAGAAGTTATAATTTTGGCTATACAATAAAGTTGAAGATATACAATCTGTTTATATATGTCTGAATACATACATTTAAGTGCTTTTGTACACTTTTGATTATAGTCAGTTTCCAAACATTTTTTGATCCGTATTTCCTACTTCTTCCTATAGTTGTTCAAATAAAAAGCTTATTTTCAATTTATACGTAAACATACTTGTTTATCTTATGTTTTATAGTGACCAAAGTGAACTAGTTGTTCAGCTAGATGATGTCAATAATACAAGTGATAATGGAACCAAAATAAATGTCATACTACGTGATTCTTGGTAAGTAAATAGCTGTTCACTTCTTATCGATTGTTACCGTCTTTCTTAGTAATACATTTCATCTTCAAAAAATTGCGTTACATGTTTTTTTTAATCTTTATTTTCTATCGACTTTCTACGTTCGATTTTTCAGGATTGCCCTGTGGTTCTATCCGTTAATAAATGACTTATTAGAGAACTTGTTGAGTTTGACATCGTTCACATCCAGGTTATCCGACATTTCTTGAAATTCGTTTGGTGTTTTCTACCAGTTGAATCACTCCTTGATAAACCTCTAGTAGGAAAAGTTTAAATAAGTTCACAGTAAATTTTTTGACGATACTGTTTTATGTAACAGTTGAATATTATATTATATAGTTATTGCAACTCTTTCGATTTTGATTGTGTATAGCCATATTGAGACTTCGATAGAGCTAAAGCGGTTGTTCTATTCGTAGTGGTTATCTTGAAACACATGTCCTGGGTTCGATCCGTGACATGGTCATGGAAACAATACTGAGAATCCCCATATTAAAACACCGTCTTGATGTCGACTGGTTGTTTGACTAAAACCAGTCTGTGATGTAAACCATGAAATTTTATCCGATTTAACCATTGTAAATGTTTTCCATTCATTTTTTTGAAATAAGAACATCAAATGTATGTAGTACATTTTATTTTTTTCAGGTTCGATATGCCTATTCGAGTAAAAGACACTATAAACATCATTCCAAATGTATATGGCGATATAAAAAATACTGTATATAATAATTCTACTCTAATTATATCAGATGATAATAGTAATAGGACTCATAATGATTGTACGGCTGTATGTTTAAATCCAGATTATTTATTACCAACTACAAAAGTTGTTAGTAGTTTAAATTGTTTAAGACGCGTAGTATTGGAACAGTTTTGGGTTGCTGATGGTGGTTATCGTGAAGATAATGAAATTACTGTTATCGATTCAAATCAAATATATAATTCTCAATGTGATGTAATGCTGACGGGTAGTTTAGTGCACGAACTTTTTCAAAAGGTAAATGTTCTATTATTTTGTCATAAAAATTGTATCAACTAAAAAATATATCTAATAGAAGAAAGATTATATATTTTTAATCAATTTTATTTGACTATTGGAATTAGTGAATTTGAATACTACTATATAGTCAGTTTTAAGTAATAAGTCATGGTTTTTGGTGTTTTATCAAACTTTTTGTATACTTCAATATCAATTTATATTTTATGAATATCATAAATGCAGATCAGTTGAAGTGTTTACTTTTTTAGTCTGTTCAATTTTTTAATTATTTTAATAACGTGCTTGTAAATTACATATTGCAATATTTACTTATATACTTTATATGTTACTTGTAAGTACACAAATTTTTTAAATTTACGTAAATATTACTGTTATGTTTAAAAAGTACTACACATGAAGAACAATATTTTAGAGGATTTTATTATTAGTTCAGGAGACTGATTTAATTCGTCATTTTGACACTATGTATAATAATGTATCAATTAAATTATCTCATTTCTTAGCTGTTTAACGTTGGAGTATTGAAAAAAATAACTAAAATATCCCATAGTAAAAAGGATAATCATACATGAATATCAAAATTTAAAAAAATTATTCTGAATGTAGTTGATTGATGTCCCCTTTTCAGTCGAATTGTGTTAGTCTAAAACAATCTTTTCAGATAATTAAAACTTGCTGTCATTAATTTTTATGGTAAAATGATTTGTAAGAATATGATAATTTTCTTGACATTTTTATACTTAGGACTAATTCATGGGGCATTCTTATTGTATTATTTTAACTTTATCTATATACATTGTTTCTTGTCTAATGACCGTGTTCAGTAGTGTTTGTTACTTGATTTTTTTGTTTCGGTATACATATATTGATCCTTTTCTCCCAAGGAAATAGTAGATATGGTTTCTAAAAGTTACACGAAAGTTCAGTAACTTCCACGTACTTTATAATTGTTTAGTTTTATCTGTTTTATGCAGTTAGTTTATCCTGTTTTATTCTTAGTATCTCTCCATTGAGCAATAGATTAGTTGTGTTTTCTGTTATCCGTTTTTTATTATATGGATTAACGTATGAATGGGTTGCACGTATTGATATTTATTCATACCGTTTATCCTAAATTAATCAGATTTACTCGTTTTTACCTCTGTCACTACCTATTTACATATTTTGTAGCTTGTTTAATTGTTTACTAGCAGACTTACTTAATCAAACATTCACCCAATGAATCAAGAAAGTATATAAAACTGCTTATCGAGTAGTTAATGAATACAGCTGAAAAAGTACTCTAATGGTATTATCCCAGTTAGAATACCTTAGATTTCACTCTGGACACGTAGATAAAGATAATAACATCTGTTACTCATGCAGCTGATTATCGATTACTATGTATGATAGTATTAAAATATACTAGTTTGCAAATTTCATCTAGTCTAGATTTCATTAAATTCAGTGACCAAGACTTGAACTGTATAGTAGACTTTGAGTCATTGACATTATATAATTGTTGTAGACAGTACACAGCTTCTGGAACCGAAGTGTATGAAGTTTCAAATCTGATTGCTGAAAGACAAATACTTATTAATGATACATTCAGTATTTAAATATTACCACATTATTGTATTTAGGTTTGTCAATTAAATTATGAAATTGTATATTGATTTCTTTTGCAAAGTTCGTCTTTTAATTTCATTCAATTTTCTCTAAGTAAATGTTTCCTTTATTGGTGGTTTTTAGATAGTTTCTAGACATAATATTCAAAGAGATGATGTTTTACAAATTGTTTCGGGACTCATCTATCGTCCTTCAGTAGTTCTACAAATGTGAGTTCTGATGGTTAAATTACTATAAGTTTCTTCCACATACCTTTTTGAAATGCTATACGTAATTTTATTTGATAATAGCCAATTACTCTGTAAATTGAATTCTCATACTTTTATGATTTGCTGAATTGATTTTATTACCTAGAGCTAGCTATATTATCAGTGTAACTGTCATATTTAACTTTGAACCAGTTGTTTTAACTTAAAATTCATTTTTGGCATTGATAACTTTTTAAAGTGATGTATTACAACATAGTCATGTTGAGAGTACATGGATTCAGAAGTTTAAAATGAATATAATTTATAAAGAAGTTTTATTGACCTTTTATTTTTTTTACAAAAACCTTGATAAGATGGGAATCGTCTTTTCGCTTATCATATTTTTCGTGTAGAAGATATTTCAAATAGACAGTAAAATATTGGAAGCATATGCAACTGCTTAAATTACGTATATTTTGATGGTTAGAATTATTTTGACGGATACCGCACAACAAAATCATTTTAATCTATCCAACCATTACCTGTTCTCTTATTTAAATAATCTACACCACTGTTATGAATAATTCTGACTATGAAAGAAAAGTCAATGAGCATCTCCATAATGGACCATATGAAAAAATCATGAAGAAGAAATGTAGAGCCACTTTAAATAAGTTGAAAGCTGAAACGGCCAAAATGCTACAGAAGTTAAAATCCGAACTAGGACCGTCTTTATGGTTCTCTTTTATATCCGAAAAGCAATAACCCTTGTAGGTTTTATGACCTACCAAAAATACACAAAACAGATATCCCACTAAAACCTGTGGTTGATTACATAAATTCACCAACCTATAATCTTTCTAGATACCTGGCCAAAATTCTTAAACCATATGAAAGCGTAATAAAATATGGAATAAAAAATTCTAACGATTTCAAAAACATTGTCAGTAATATCCGCATAGAAGAGGATGAAATAATGGCAAGTTTTGATGTTTGCTCATTGTTCACTAATGTTACTATTAATAAAGCTTTAGATATTGTGTATAACCTCTTAGATTCTGACACTGAACTTAAACAACGTTGTTCTCTAGATCCCTCAGAAATTATTAGAGCGTTGGATCTTTGATTACATTCAACTGTTTTCAGTTTTCGAGATCTGTACAGACAAACAGGTGTAGCTATGGGATCACCGGTTTCCCCAATTGTTGCTAACTTATTCATGCATTCACTGGAAACAAGTGCCATCTCAATGTGCTCTATTCCACCAAAAATTTGGTTAAGATACGTAGATGACACTTTTATCATTATAAAACGAGATAGTTTCGACGAGCTATTTCAACGTGTCAACAGCATTTATGACAAAATCAAGTTCACCAAAGAGTTAGAATCTCCTGAACAGAAACAATATTTCTAGACTGCTTGGTTGGAAGGAAGTATAATGATTGTTTAAAAATTAGTATTTTCCGAAAGCCGATATATTCAGGAAATTTTTTAGATTTTAAGTCTGCGCATCCAGACTATGCTAAAGTGAAGGTAGCCAAAAATTTGTTAACCCGAGTCAAAATCTTGTCACTGAACCAAATGATATAAAAATGGAAATTAATTTAATTGTATCCACTCTAATGATGAATAATTATCCGAAGTGTTTTATTAAAAGAATAATTAAGAATGAAGAACAAAATGATATCATTAAAAAAAGAGTTAAGCAAAAAGAATAGATTAACACAGTGGTGATCCCATATCGTAAAGGTATTTCAGAAGAGATCAGAAGGATTCTAACTCTTCAAAACAGAAGAGTATTCTTTCTAACAAACAATACTCTGAGATCAAAACTAGTAAGAATCAAAGATCCAATACACAAGGATGAACAACAGAATTGTGTTTATGAAATCAAATGTAATGATTGTAATGCGACGTATGTAGGTGAAACATCAAGGCAATTGAATGTGAGGGTAAAGGAATACAAACTGTGCTTAAAGCACATTCCTAAATCCTCAGATGATGTAAGGAAACTTGAGAACAAATCAACAATAGCATTACACTCGATTGAGTCGGGTCATACAGTTGATTTTAATGGCACAAGAATCATTGAAAAAGGCTTTAACTCTTACAAAGAACGACTAACAGCCGAAGCCCTACATATTTGGGCTAATTCAAACATTATTAATAGGAGAGATGGTATACAATTAGCTGTTCCATGGCAACTAATAATTAATAAGTAAACCTGAACTCCTTCTTCCATTCTATCTATCTATATCATATTAATTAATCAATAGATAATACATTCAATGGTTCAAATCAGTTATCTTTTCTGAATATGTTAAACAATTGACGGGAAAATTAAAATCACACAAGCTTTCAATTACAGATACATTCTTCCTCTCTGAATTCAGTCTTTTATCTTGTTTACTTATCTTGTTTATTTACCTTCATTTAATGCATGCTGTGACATTTTGATTCATATCATATATAAGATGATATGTTTTCTTAATATACACATACCGAAGACAATATATAGTTGAATCAAATTACTTCTCACATCACTTACGTAGACACACAATCTGTTATCTTAACACTTTTCGTTTTCAGAATACATGTCTCTTACACACTTATGTAAATACCTACTTCAAACAGGGTTCACGTTGATTGGATGTCTTATTTAGTATACAGTAAACCAGAGAACCATGTACATATTTATATTCGATAATTTTGTTGTTTGATTATATTTTCCTTGAAAAAGCTTGGACCAGATTGCCAGGTGAAACGTTGGATTTACTTCAAATTCATTCGCTGAGATTTTACAAATACATTTCTTCCTCTTTAATGTCTCACATTAACTCGGAGCACAAATATTGTGAAACTATTCGTTCAAATTTAGACGAAAGTTCTTATTAATCTATATTATAGTTTAGTCTTTAATTAATCAACAGTGACTGTTCTCAGTTTCGAAAATAATTCAGTTTGAAAGTTTTAATACTAGCCGAAAATAATTATCCATTATTTAACTGCTTTTACAGGTTCTTTACATGTTATCCTTTCTTGACAGTTTTTTTTTCAATGTACTAAGTGTTGTCTAATAACTATTTTAATAGTTGAATTCACGGTCGATGTAAGGTATGGGACTCCTCAACAGTGCTCATCCACGGTCCCGCACGCGGGACTCGAACTCAAGACCTTAGACCTTGCGCGTCAACTTTTAACCTATACACTACTGAGCCGGCCGGCATCCAACGTTGTTAATGTTTAACTACAATCGACCCATGGATTCAACTATTAAAATTACTACAATCTCCACAAACGCCATTCTGATGGTAACTATTTCGCAGTTCATTTTCTGGAAACAAAGTTTCTGGTAATTGTTAGTCTTTCAGATTCGTTGAACAGTTTCATTTTGTAATTATTATACGAAGTAAATTCATAATTCATTAGTTAGTATTAATTTTAACTCTTTTTAATAAAAAGCGAAAGAAAGCAACAAAGTTTTTTATCCAGTTCATTGTTACACTTTAACTTTTGTAACTAAGGTACGCTTCTGGTATTCACCCAAAAAGTTTGTTTACGAAATTAGAAGAGTTTATTCCGAAAATTTTTGACTGGACCCAAACACACTGTATTCAACACTTACCTACCCGTAATAGGTAAATTATTGATTTTTAATTAATGATTGTTAGGAATTTTTTTCGTTTATTACTAATATATCTAATTTGTTGTACTATTTTATAACAAAACCATTATTAGTTTCCATAATAAAAATTGTTTTATGTCTTTGTTTATTCTACCTCACTATTACTATGTTTAATAGAATTTCGTTATCAAACACAAACTGTTTGCCTCAAAATTGAGTAAATAAATATGTACTTGGTATATCAGTTTGATGTAGATGTAGGTCATTTATATTACACTGATTTGATTATCGTTTTGTGATATTTATCATTTATAATTATCTTTTTAACGTATCAGTAATGTAAGATTTTAGAAAACTATTAGCATTGACCTCATAATTAAAAGGAAATTCTAGTATAATGTTACGAATGATTGTTGTGAGCTGTACATGTGCTTTACGGTTTAATTCATCTTCAACAGATATAATGAACTCGGCAATTTGTTAATCTTACAAATCAATACATAATTTCATAAACCTAGTTTTGTCACTTTTTTTTTTTCTTATTTACCTATATTGTCATAATGTTTTATAAATTTTGTTTTTCATTTTTAGCATTACTACAGTTAACCAAGTGAAGGTAGAAGATGTTATTGCTATTGAAGAAAATATTTGGTCAAATCGGTAAGTTGAGTGTGTATATATGTATTACTTACGCCTGTCGCCCCTCGTGGAGGAGCATAAGTAGCCCACCAGCATTCTCCATCAAACTCTATCCTGGGCAATCCTTTTCAGTTTTTATTCATCCTTCTCATGTCTACTTCGAATTTTCGACGTAGTGTATCCCTTTGCGTTCCCTTTTCCCTCTAGGATTCTAAGTTAGCACTTGTCCCGTGATTCAGTTTGGTGGTTTCCGCAACGCATATCCTATCCTCCTCCAGCGTCTTTTACTAATTTCCCCTTCAGATAGAACCTGGTTTGTCCCTTGCAACAGTAGGCTGTTGTTGTATCCGGACAACAAACATTGAGTATATTTCGTACACAATTGTTTATAATTATTTCTACCTTTTTGATAGTGGTTGTAGTAGTTCTTTATTTTCCAGCTCCGTACGGTAGGACTGTCTTGACGTTCATATTGAAGATTCTGACTTTGATGTTGGCTGACAATTGTTTTGAGTTCCATATGTTCTTCAATAATAGGAATGTTGTCCTTACTTGGCCAACTCTCGCCTCTACGTCTGCATCAGATCCTCCTTGTTCATCGATGATGCTGTCGAGGTACTCTGAAGTTTCCACCTCTTCCAGATCTTTGCCATCGTGTGTGATTTGTTTGGTGTTCTCTGTGTTGTATTTGAGGATCTTGCTTTTTCCTTTGTGTATGTTGAGGCCTACTGCTACACTGGCTGTCTTCACGTGCATTTGTTGATGTATCTTGGATAGAAGAACTAGGCTATCTGCAAAGTCTAATCGCCTAGTTGCATCAAAGCTGTCCATTGTATTCCATGCTTTCCCTCAGTTTTGTAGGTCCTCATAATCCAGTCAACCACCAGAGGAAAGAGAAAGGGTGAGAGTAAGCAACCTTGTCGGGCTCCGAACCTCACTTGGAGTGCATCTGTCAGCTGCCCTCCATGCAAATTTTGCGATGTCGTCCGTTGTATGGATTCCGGATGATGTTGACAATCTTCTCAGGTATACCAGTGTGTTGAAGGTTCCTTAAGGTTCTCCTATTCACACTGTCGAACGCTTTCTCATAGTCAAGGAAGTTGATGTATAGTGACGAATTTTATTCGATTGACTACTCAACAATGATCTGTAGTATCGCAATCTGGTGTGTTCACGACCGGTCCTTACGGAATTCGACCTGTTGATCTCAATGTTATGAATCTACTGGATTTTTCATCCGGTTCAACAACACTCTGTTGAAAACTTTTCCTGGTACTGATAGTAATGTGCTGCCTTTGTATCTTGATGAGATATCTTTCTTTCCAGTCTGTCAGCAGTTGTTCTTCCTCCAAAATCCTCCTGAATAGAACGTGGAGCATGTTTGCAGTTGCTTCTATGTCTGATAACAACACTGTTGAAAATGTTTCCTGGTAATCTCTTGTTTTTTCTGCGAATTCAGCTTGTACTTTGACTTTCTCTCTTTTTGTTCGGCTTGGGACTGTCAGTAACGCTAGAAAACTATCGGAGGTGTTTTATATATATAATGGAATTCACTTATATCGTGTACAACAGTATGGTATACTTTTTTAATATAATTGTTAGTCTTTGGGTGTAGAAGAAAATTCTTATCATTTTAATGGTAAATCCTGGTATGACTTTCTATCAATGAAACACTCCTTGAAAATCAAGTTTTAAACACATCGTTCTATTCTACCTCTATTTAACAAATGATATTTGTGATTCATTTACGAAATAACTATGAAAACCTGTAAATTATTACTGTACAGATGAATCTGGTTTGAAAGAAGAAAGCTGTCATAAACTCTTAATTATATTGTTTGTGATATTTAAAACTTTTTGGAATTCACTTTATCGCCTAAAATTAATTAAAATTAAATCAGATCATTCGATTCTATAATGTAAATGATTAATTATATTGTCCTATAACTTCATTTTATCTTTTATCCAGTTTGGGTTTAAAAGGAAAAATCGACTCAACATTACTTTGTGAAATTCCTTTAAATGGTGAATTAAAACCTACGTTGAACTTAATTCCTATGGAATTAAAAACTGGTAATCCATCTTATTCAATTGAACATAAAGGTCAAGTAAGTTTCTTGTAGTCTCATAACTATATATTTATCACGTTTAATTAGATGATGGTCACCTTTTAAGTAAAAAAAAGAATATTTTAAATATATGATAAATAAATTTTTTTAACAACCATTGTTTTCACTTTGTATTCAGGTAAAGATTATGTTCATTTTGTAACATAGTTGAAAAGATCCTTACAGCATTGTATATATATATATATATATATATATATATATATATATATATATATATATATATATATATATATATATATATATATATATATATATATATATATATATATATATATACTACAAACGAGCCGTCTCGTGCTCTTCGATTTTCGATATTACTTTAACTCAAGTTGGTTGGTGATAAATTTCGCTTAAATATAACAATAACTGAATAAGATATTTTTTTACATTATTCCTCCTAATATGGTTTTCTATTCCATTTCAAGTATCCCTCTCAACTTCATTGATTAAAGTATATCAGAACCTTATATAAAATCCTATTATTTTTCATGACCTCAGGCTGTTTACAACTGATGAACAGATTTGAAATATAGCATATTCATTTGACCCTGCATATCTTGTTGTCTTGTTCTGTTCAAGATGAAGTTAAACTAGGAAAGTTTCTTCTTAGTTTATTGCACTTTTTTTCTTGATTTTCACACTTCCGAAGACATACTGTATATATTTGTACACGGTATTTTCTTGCCTGATTCATTCTTCGGTCTTTGCCAATAAAACTTCAGTGCAAGATGTTTCCTTTGTACTAGCCATCACCAAGAATCGGGAGTGGTGATTAAGGTACTTACTATGTGCTAATCAAAGTTAGAAATTTCTTGTCTTAAACATGAGTCATATATGTCTAGTTCACATGTATGTATTCCGAGTTTTTAAAGACTTTCTCCTTTGAACATCGGGTCGCTATGTATCTATTGTCTATCACATTTTATATTTGTTCCTCAAACTTGTTCTTCCAAAACCACTAACAACTATAAAGTTTTATTGGTAATCTTTATTACGGTATTGTCTGTCCAGTTTTATTTGGTTAATTCACTTGTATGTAGATCAACTTTGTAGTCTTTTTTCGCTATACTTACTACATATTTATCAATCAATGTTTGACATTTTATTTTCTAGGTCTACTTATACTTAATGTTGGCTAGAGAATTTTACGGTGCTCATTACAGTACCTCTAAATATGCTAGAGTTCCAGTTGCAAATGCTGGCTGGCTTGTCTACCTAAAGGAGCCAATAAAACAGAATTTTCAAAAACATATTTCCTTCACAAACCCGGGCATTATTTATCCAGATATTAACAGTTTTCGGGGTCTTATACAAACGAGAAATAGGCTGGTTTCAGGAATTATCGATCTACTAAGGTCAGCTGATACTTCTCATGAACAGTTGTGTGTTAACGATCAGAAAATTAAGTTACCTGATTGTATAAATCAGTTACGTGTTTGTCAGACTTGCGGTTTACAACTTACCTGCAGCTTATTCACAGAGAATCCTGCGAAACCGTAAGTTTATTGATATATTAAAATAGGCGAAAAAATACATCATTTATTACTATGTTACATGGTGTTAAGTATCTCCGTAGGTGATGTTTAATTCTAGGTACCTGTGTGCTTATTACTGTTATGTGTATTGATGAGAGATTATGTAGATCGTAGTTATCAATCGGTTTAGTTTGATAAATCATAAGCTATTGTGAAATTTTGAGTCTTAATTTTAACTGACAGAAGTGTAACACTGATGTTGAAATTGATCATTATTTATTCAGTCAGTCAGTCAGTCAGTAACAACGTGGAACTTCGTACGTACGTACATCAGTTCGAGTTGCCATACCACATTAGCACAGAGATTCAGTTATCGATTCAAATCCCATAGTGGTAGAGGTACTGAAAGTATAAGTAGAGATAGGGGAGTCCAGTGCAATAAATTGGGAAAGAAAATAAAGGACATGAAGAATTCAGAAGATTAGAGTTTGAGAGAACACAAAGAGTGGATGCACCTGCGCCATTGCAAACGATTTTGAGCCATGTCATTCAAGGTCTCTAACCATCGGTTGCTATCGTCTCGCGGTCCCCAACCAGGTAGTCTACACCTACCAACATGACTCAGTCCACTTGTCAGTGACTTCATGGATTTGTGCCATGTTTTGGTCTGGCCGCCCCTAGCTTTCTTCCAACCTACTCCTACACCATAAAACATAGCACGTCGGGGCAGTCGGTGGTCGAGCATCCGCAGCACATGTCCCAGCCATCTCAACTGATTAAGTTTCACTACTTCCTCAATTGATTTTCCATCCTTACCTAGTACCCGTTTCCTAACAACTGAGTTACTTACTCGGTGGTCCCAGGATATACGAGCGATGTTTCGAAGACACCTATGGTCAAACACTAGTAACCTACGAACGGAAAGCTGGATGGAGTTATGCTCATATGATAATCACTACCCAGGGTTTAAAAGAGTTTATCATATTCCCATAAAACGTTACTCTCATATTCTGCCTGACCTAAGTAATGCATAATTTTGGTATTTTTTTATACAGATATTCGGGTGCGTATGATTCATTTTCCAGTGTTTACAAAATTCTCATAAACCGTCGGTCTCACCTTCAACAACAATATATTGATTTTTTTATCAAGTGGTCTAAACTCTTGTTAACAGAATACTTGGGTAATGAACGCTTCGAACATGTAATTGGAAATATATACAAAACATCTTTAAAATTTGACAAGTAATAATAATAATAATATATATATATATATATTGTCGTTTTCTTTTCGAAAGTAGTTTCGTAATACTTTCCTTTGTTCTATTCATCATTTATAGGTTCCTTACATCTGTTAAAAAGGTTGTATTTTCAAAGTTGTCATCCCTAAAGTCATTAACCAAATCTAAAAATACATTCTCTTTTACTGTTCGATGAGACTGCCATTCAGTGCTTTCAGGTTTTTAATGATGATTTAACTTAGGTTGGCTCTTGATTTTAATGATATTTTACTGTTTGTTAGGTGGCTAACTTCGTGGATTAGAGGAAGAGAAAGATTTGTTTGTTGTACCTTGGAGTTCCTTCATATCTTTTGGTCTTGAGAGTTGCTATTGTCAATATATCATTTGTGAATAAGTGGATTAGGCCTAGGCTGTCAGTTTACTTTTTACATTCTTCTATGTAACCATACTTTTACGATTCATATTATTGTGTTGACATAAATTGGTGAAGTAGCAGAGAGCCTCATAATAATTATTATTATCTAACTCAGTGAATAATCTGCTCCTCTTAAATTTGAAAACGACCTCTATCAGAACATGTGCTGCTCAAAGGTACTTGACTACTTTACCAAATATATGTTACGTAATGGATGGCAACATAATTTACCACACTATATATTACTAATTACTAGGACAGATAAAGCTTCACTTTCACTTACCTGTAAACAGCACTGAATATTTATTTTTCACATTAATATCATAACTAGTGTATGAATTATATTATTTGTTAAACAGCTCGTAAATGATAGTCTTTATTATTTTGGTCACGTTTTTTGTGAATTCAGTAAATACTACCTTCATCCAACCTTTATAACTTAAATATCACCAAGTTATTCATGTTTTATTTTTGTCTATGTAAAACTATGTGGACTAATGTCGAATAATAGTTTGCATCTTTTTTCCGAAACTTGTTCTCACTAACTTATTTCGATACATAAATAGTTTGTTATAGTTCAATTTGAAATCCAAAAGAACTTTGTTACCTTTCCAATCTCGCAAACAACATATCTTTTTTAGTTTTCATGTGCGTTTTTGTAAACATTTTAGTCAACTTGAAATAAATCATGTTACTACTACTTAACTTGTTCTGTCATTTTTGATAGGATTATCTTGAATAGCCCTTTCAAACTTATTCTATTTTGTGTCTGAAATCTGTCATAACGTACTAGTCATAACGTTGTAATCATCATCTTGGTTTCAGTCGATTAAATTTGTTCATTCCTATAATCTGTATGTAGTTTACCATCCCTTCTTGTAAACATTTTTAAGAGGCTGCTTTCGTTATTTATCTTTTTTCATAAATAAATAATTCTTATATTATCATTTCAAAACTATTACTTTTTAGACCCATCACTAATGGCACTATTCGCGGTTTACGTTTAGTGAAGACGAAAATTTCACAAAGTTCATTATCTGGTGAATATGAAGTTCAGAGTTGGTTTATTCTACACAAATCCATTGATCAACCATATGAATCCTTATTGTATGTTTTATATAATTTCCAAATTGTCTACTTTAAAATTTTTTAATTATGCAATTAATACATAAATTTACGATTTATTTCGTAACATATACAGCCTAATAAATGCTGAAGATATAATAAAAACTAATTAAAGACATTTCTAATATAATCAATAGGAATATAAAGTACTCCTATTGATTCAGAAGCACTTAAAAATCCATTAAATGTAACTCGATTGGGTTTTCGATTCAATATTTAAACTATTTTATCATATAAAACCAGTATGTTGATCAGTACAAGTGACCTTTAATTAAACTTAGATTCGAATATATCAGTTAAATGAGGTGTTATGCAATTTCGTTTTCTTAGCTTATCCATATAGACTTGCATTTTATCTCTTTAATAATAACTCAAAGAAAATATTACAGATAACCAAGATGCAGTTTAATAGAAAAAGAAATCTTATGAACTATTTCACTTATTTCTGCTAGTGTGGTGAACAAGAATACCAATGGGGACAATCGAGTGTATTTAGCAACAAATTACAGAACTAGTTAGTAAAATCTAACAACCATATAGTAAATGCTCAATTTACAAAATGTCCATCAATTGTCTCAAATGACTCAGACTTCCTTTGTTCTTGCATTTTCATACAAATTGCATTATGTCTTCATTCTTTACTTTTCGATCTTCTCGTCTCTCTGCTGCCAGACATTTTGTTCACGACCCACATCATATACTACTTATGTCTACATAAGTAGCACACACCACACTAGTTTAAATTACATATCCTTCATCACTTTATCCAAGATTCTAATATAGAAAATACCTATTAATAACTGAATGATTTGCAATATGTTAACGCACTAGATATTATTCAATAATTATTTAAAGCATAGAGAATCATTAATAAATATTATATTACTAACGTTTACCGAACTCGTTACTTAGTGTAATTACAAGCGATTGTTTTGTTCAAATTACAGCTTTATTGTGAATTTATTTTATTCAACATTGCTTACTATACTATTCAAAAAATTTCCTAAATTAGCTTTTTTACTGTGTTTATTCAATTTCGTTCTCTTACTTATACGAATTGCCTATTTTTTTAACCAACTTTATGAAATCATTGTTATTCTCGTCATTTATTACAGATCCCTTTCAAGTTTGAATATTGGTGATTTTGTTATTGTCAGCAGTGATGATTCTCGTTTTCTTGGTATTGAATTAGCAACTGTAGCTTCAGTTGAAGGATTTCATGAAGTTGATTTTACTAGTTACGGATTCGTTTCACCACTGTCTGACTGTAAGAAATATGTATTATCTTTGATTTCAACCAGGTACATTGATTCTGAATTTATATAGCCAAACATATATTTCATTAATTTTATTTTGTCCTGAATCTTTTGCTTATCTTTGTTTCTACCTACATGTGTACGCTCGGTTAGACGTTTTAATTAGGTCTTAGAGTTTATCGCATAAAAACGGAGTCATAACTGTTTTTTTATTATGAAGAATGTTTTTGGACTGAAAGAAGATCATTATGATGTTCGGTCAAAAAGCACATAAATAGTATTTATGTTTAGCTTTATATATTGGTCTTAAATGCCCTTGGAAATACTCATTCCAGTTGAAAATGGAAGGTGAATAATTAACGATACCAATTTTTTATAATTCCTTTGGTTGTTGATCACCGAGATAAATTTTAGAACAATAAACTATGTAATTAGATTGTGTTTTGATTATTTCGTAACATATGTTATTGAAACTTTCGCTATATATCATAGATATTTATTTAGATTGAAGATGACACTATTACCTCATTATTCTTAGGTCATTTCCTGATCGAATTCAATTGTTTCGTGTTGATCGTTATGTGTCAATGAAAGCAATTCAGTTGAATTTATCCAACTTGGTGGGTTTAATGAGGAATTCAAAATTATGGTAGGTAAATATTCATATATGTTTTCAGTATGGGTTTGTAGAGTTTATTAAGTCTCATTGAAATTACGAACCGATCAATGTTAGATCACCCTTGAAAACCTAGAAGCACTGGACAGCTGTTTCGTCCTGGTATGGGACTCTTGTATAGTGCATATCCGCAACCCTGCTGTCAGGATCCGAAATCAGAACTTTCTGCCTCTCACGAACGCTTAACCTCTAAACCACTTCGCCGGGACCTGATGATTTCAATATTTAACTCCAACTAATCCATGATATTGCGTTACCATCTCCCGTCGTCTTCGGTGGTTAACTGATTCAAACTATACACAGCTGAACTCCACTAGTCACGGCGCGCGAGATCGTGGATGCGAACTGTTGAGGAGTTCCGTACTAGGACGAAACGACCGTTCAGTTATTCCAGGTTTTAAATAGTGGTCTAACATTTATCGGTTCAGGATTTCAATGAAATACATATGTTTTAACTGGATAGTTATCATTATTTGTTTTCTTTTATTTACACTGAAGTAATTGGGTTGTAGTGATAGTATCCTTAATGTTCAAACAATCACATCGTTACCATAAATTATGTTTAGGGCTCATTATTATATCATACTTTTTAGCAGCCGTAATAATTTCAGTTCTATACTCTATCCTGTATTTGTTTTAATATAATTAGTGTTTCTGCCAAAAATTATTTGTTTTTGATAAAGTTCTATTTTTTCAGGTCGAAATACAATCATAAATTGAACTTGAGTTGCAATTGTTATTAGTTGTGTTCTGAGATATATTATTGTTTTTGAATTTATTAGAACTAAGGATATCAAGTTTTGATTAGACGGTTAATGTTAAAGATTGATTCAATTATGTAATAATTTTCATTACTTACTGATAACTTGAAATTATCTCTGGTATTACATTAAGAAGTTTAAATCACAAAGATTCTGATTTTGTCCATTCATTTCGTGATGTGTTATATCACCGTGTTACTAAAAGTTATTGGATAATATCGTCATTTCAGTAAATATCTCTTGTGAAGATCCGTACACAAGCATATCTGTACGTATTGTGTGGTAATGAGTTTCTTTCCAGATTTTTTAAATTAATTATTCTTGTGTAAATGAATTTTTTTTAGTCGATTTTATTTGATATTTTACCATTGTTTTCTGTTAACCTTTCTTTTTCTAGTCATTTACTACGGGAGCTTATTATTGATGGTCGTATACCGGATATGTCACAAACAATATCTAAAAAGATTGTCAAAGAAAGTAATCATTATTTATCATGTGTGTTATTTAATTTCTATTTATTTATAGTACGCCCTATTCTGAAACCACTGAATGTAAATCAACGTACGGCTATACTGCAAACACTTTTTTCACAAAATTATATTCTTATCAAAGGATATCCTGGATCAGGTATTTTTATTTGTAAATACAATTTTTAGATATGCATGTTTAATAATTTGTTATTAGTATGTAGTACTTTTAAAGGATGCAATTTATGAGCGTACAATCATACAAACAATATAAATGATATGCTGTGAACCTTGATTTTATATTCGTGGTTCTGAACATTGATGTCGCAGCGTATACAAACCAAGATAACTCTTGAAAAGTTAAAAGGAATCAGGAATTTTCCTAAAATTTGTCTTTGGTGTTCAGTTTGATAAACTATTGACTTTTACTCAAGGTTGATCTATTTCTTAGTACTGAATGTATTATAGATGTTGTGAAGTAATTTATATATAAAACCTACAATTGGCCAAGTATACAGTATACAATAATACTATCGTAGTGTTACACTGATTTTTTTTCTGGACATGTTAGGTTGTAAACCAAATTCGATTTGTGTTTTTTTTACATAGATGATAATTATGTTTATTTTTTCAAAGTGAGAAATACGTTTACTGATCAAATTATGGCTCTTTTTATTATTATTTTCCAAAATCATACTTCATAATGTAACACCCTTGCTAATTGTTCACCGTATCGAATCTCACTTCATTTTGTATCATCCGATTCCACTCTTACGTATTGTAACTTAAGGCTAACAATATTATATTTCCCATAAGCCACTTAATACGTTTGCACCGATTTTTTTCTCATTTCTTTTGTATATATCTCCACCCAATCTTAAGTTAATGATGATTTTCTTCATTTCAAACTTTGTCGTGGAGTTTATCATTTCTACTATGTGTCTCATCATAGATTATATTTCATTCTACCATTCTGTCTAACAAAAAGTGTTACTAAGTTATAAAGTTAAAATCATATCCATCATATGATATTATATATTACAAGTTTAAACGAATACTCGTATAATTGATTGAAAACTATTTACATTTCTCGTGAAAAATATAGTACTATTTATACGTTTACTTAGTACAGTATCATTTAGCTTTCATTCAATTGTAACAAATTACTTGAATGATTTTCGTTCAATTTGTTCATATCCCGTGATCTGTAAAGCAAAGCTCATAATCTTTGCTTTTTAGAAGACTTTATTCTAGTGAAATGTCTAATTTGTTTAAACGATAAAAATTGGGAATATATTACATTTTTCTAACTATCGTAAATAACTTCCATTGAATTCATCATTTTGTGTGTAAGTTATTTTGGGATTAAAAATCTTAATGTTAGTACTATAAGAAATCATTGTGCATGATAAATTATATAATGTCAGATGGAATAATTCTTATGGAGTCTCTTAATAAAAAGATTATTTATTTATGAAAATGTTTAGATTTGTATAAAAAAGGGTAATTTTTGTTAAGTCATTTGTACTTAATGATAAATATTTTCTTAATTAAATTGTCTGTTATTCTCATCTCTTTTTTTCGATGTGCTACAACAGTTCATAAAATATCTGTTATAATTCATTCTGATTTTCTTTTTTTCTATTTTCAGGTAAGACAGAAACTTTGGTAGCATTATTACGTGTCCTTATTCTGTTAAAGAAAAGAATTCTTGTCACAGCACATACTCATTCCGCTGTTGATAATTTACTTTTAAGATTATGTCAAGTAAGTGTTGTTTGTTTCCTATGTAATTTATCTCTTTTTTTAATTAGAACTATTGGTAAATGTCTAGATATGATCTGTTATTGTGGTATTAAATAAATTGATTAAAAACGCATATCAATTTTGTCATGAACTGAAACCACTCAGAAACAATAATTAAAAACTATTGTTAACTGAATAATTGTTCCTACTCGGTTTAGTATTCAGAAGTTTAAACCAACAATCTCACGCAAAGTCAAATCTAGTTTCTTTGGATTGAAATATAATCAGAATGGGGTTTTGTGGAGATTGTAGTAATTTGAATAGTTGAATTCATGAGTCTATGTAACCTAGACTACCACTGAAAACCTGGAAGCACTGGACAGCTGTTTTGTCTCAGTATGGGAGTTCAGCAGTGTGCGTCCACGGTCCCATACATGGAACTCGAACCCAAAACCTTCGATCTCGCGAGCGAACCCTTAACCTCAAGAACACTGAGCCGGTCGGCATCCAACACTGTTAATGTCTAACTTCAATCGTTTCACGTTCTTGTGTAACTATTGATCCATTGGACTCCACTAGTTACGGCTTCTTATTAGAGCTCCAGGAAATCGATCTTGAAGCCAGGTTTTGAATGGTGGTATAGCTTTAGATCGACTTATGAATTCAGCAACCAAAATATAATCATCAGTCAACTTATAGTATATCTCAATTCCTAGCAGCTTTTATTGTAGACGTGTGACTTTTCAAGTGATTTATCCATACACACTTTCAAAACTAGAGAATTGCTTCCGAGTTGATTGATGAATTTATCAAATCATCCAATACACTACCAGTTGTATATTTCATTATATGCAGTTTTCGAAACTGCTTACTGATAAAAAATATGTTTCATGACATACTTCGTAACAACAATCAGGTGATTAGCTTGTTCTTTTTTCTTTTTAGACTGGTGAAACTCGTGTTTTAAGACTTGGACAAATGGATCGAATACTTCCTGATTTGTTAAATTATTCCTTTGAATACAGATTAAATACATTTCTAAAATCTGATGATAAACCTAAGAATGATGTTATTGACTACATAACTAATGTTATGGCAAACACTGTAAGTTATTGGACCAAACGTCTCTTTATGGATTTACTAATTGTCTAAGATATAGAGATTATGTGGCGTTACATGTTACAAGATAATTATTAGAATATATATCATGTTTACATTTGTTTGGTTTTTTTCTAACACCTGTTTCTGTCTTGAAAATATTTATTCTCTTAGTTACAAATTCGGTATAGTTGACATGACCTTTGTATTTTGTTTTAGGTTAGACCATATGGAAAATTTCATGTTATTCAGTTGTTAGTCCATGATGTATTTGTATTGTAGAGAAAAATTGATGTTTATATGTTCATGTAATGATAGACAGACTATTATTTGAACGTTCCTTGTCTATGTTGTAAACATCTCTGTATTTATTCATGGTATGTTAAGAATCGAAATAGAATTGAATACCTGCAATGATATGACTCAGATATCATTTAATTTGATAGAAATAACGTAAACGAAAGTAAAGCAATTAGTCCCTTTTATAAATTTCGATAATGTAATAAAAGACGGAGATTATCAAAACTATGTGATATATTAGCGCAATACATTTCGAACAATCTGATCACACATATACATGTTAAGAGCATTTATATATAAAAATAGAAGGTCAACTAGACTGGAAATGAGGTAAGAGGAGATAAGGATAATAATAGTAATAATAATAATCTGAACACTATTCAAAACCTAATCACTCTGGATAATAAGTTAATATTACCAGGGTAGGTTTAAGATAAGAACAAACTGTTTTTGAATACACAAAGAGGGTTTGAATTTTCGTATGGCTAAGGCTTGAATAAACCTTAGTATACGCCCTTGTACACTTTTATATGATACCATAAAAGCCGAGTTTAGATCAATCTTGTGCCCTGTTTCAATTATATGTTTAGCAATAGAGGATGATGGATATTTATCCTCTTCTCTTATTGGGTCACTTGATTGTATTTAGTTTTGCAGCCTTTGGGTACATGTTCACTCACCCTAATGTTAAGATTACGATTGCTCCTCCCTATGTATGTGTGACCGCACACATTTAAATTGGTAAACACAGTGGGATATGACACAATCGTTTTGGATGAAACATGCACCTTGTTCTTTCTTTGACAATGACCTTTGCTGCGCAGTACGTTTTGCTGATGACTGATTTAAGTCTTTGTTTCAATAACAGACTATTTGGATCACCTCTGAATGGTAAGGTGATGTAGACAGGCTTTTTCTCCACCGAGGCTACAATAGGTCTCACTGTACCGTGGACTTTCCATCTATTTATGAATTTCAGGGGGTAACCATTTTGTATTAATGTTTTGTTTAACAACTTAACATCATCATCAATGGCGTCATTTGGACAAATGCGATCAAGCCTGTTGAAAAGACACCTTATCAAACCACGTTTGTATTGCACAAGGCAATAACTATAATAACTAAGGTATTGACCTGTCCACGTTGGTACAACGTGGAAAGTAAACGAATGTTTTTATATAGTATTGGTAAGTACTTGGTTGTTCGTGAGTTTAGTTCAATTAGGATTTAGTAATCATTTTTTCTAGATTGTACCAGGAGACCCGCTGATACTTATTAAATTTGTACAATAATTATTGGCTAGGTTATTTTTCCAGATAATACATTTGTTAAATTGACGATTGTCTTGAGTACTATTATTCAATATAGTTTGTATATTATCCATAGAAATTGGAAGATAAACACATCATAATAACTTCAAGTTATTTATGTATTAATGTAACGTAGTTATTGATTACAGGTTTGTGTATTTGATTTAAGACTGGCATTTCAATGTAACAACTAGTAATATCATCTAATTGTGCAAACTAAATTGGTTGTGTAGTAAACTTTTGACAAATGATAAATTTTCTTTTATTGCGATCTTTTTTAGAATAAATCTTTGGCAAGGTTAACTACGTTTAGTTGAAAAAATAACAATTATCGGTTATTGTATTCGTCTCATCAATATTATTGACTATACTCCTTATTATAATTCACCTAAAATGGTTTCGAAAATTTCTAAGTTTTGTGGTTGTTAATCTTACAGCGATTCCTAATTCACGAATAATTGAGATACTCTTCTAATATGAACTTGATAAACCGGATTATTGACATACAGTTCTTCATTAATATAATCCGTAACGTCATAGAAGACAAGAAAAAAGTCACAGGTTCAGGAGAAGCTTGGTATTCACAGTAACAAGAAATCATATTTTTAGTGTAATAACTCTATAAAGCAACCAACCTATAAACTGAAGATATAATAAATTTTAGCAAACGAAAAATAAGGATAACCAAATATATAACAGTAAAGTTAAGTGGGGAAATATGAATTGTGAAAGTTATCGTGTCTCTTTTTTTCACAAAATGTCTAATAACTATTCACTAAATTCTAAACAACTTGAAGTTCCTCTTGCAAGTTTAGACTAGAGTCTATTTGTTTATCTTTCTTAATCATCAGCACAATAGTGAAAAATGTTTTTTTTTAAGTATCAACTCTCTCAAAAGCTTGTAAGCGAAGAAAATAATGATGGTAAGAATAATCAATATTTGGATAAATAATACTGACTAGCGTAAAACTAATTTAAAATTGACTTTCAGCAGAAGTCTTTGAATGAATACATATCAATTTTTTATTTTGAGGATCTTATCATATTTTTTCCCCGTATTTTCTAGATTTATACTTCAATAAAGAACAATTTTAACTCGGATACCTTTTTATTTTCTACTTTCTGTACGATACGAAATCGAACTAACACGTCAAAAAAATAATCTTATATAGTTTATGGGAAATAGGTCAAATAGATTATTCCGTTGAATTTTGTTCCCGTCTTAGTGTTAAAAAATATCTTATTTTATTTATCTGGTATTAATTTATTTAAATTTTTTAGTAGAAGGTTATAGCCTGATTAACTTGTAAATCCAATTCTAATTCTTTTTTGGACGACTCCTAATGCATTATTTTGTATTGTATTTTTTTTTAGGTCGTTGTTGGATGTACAGCTTTAAGTGCAAGTGGAGGGAATGACCTGCGACATTCAGCTTTGACATATCAAAAATTCGATGTTGTCCTAATTGATGAGGCTAGTCAATTAATGTTTCCTACTACTTTGGGGCCATTACTGTGTCTTGTTGAAGAGCAACAGTCTCTTGACTCTATAAAATGTTGTCGTTTTGTACTGGTTGGGGATCCTTATCAGTTACCTCCTTTAGTTCGTAGCCAAAAAGCTAGGTAATTTGAGCAGTTGTTTTTTTTGTTTTCAAAGATATTTTCTTCTCGAGTTAGTTCGTACGTAAGATAGAATTTTGTGTATTCCAGTGTACTTGTTAGTGGTTAGAAATTCATATTGTTTAAATTTTCGTCAAAACTTCTGGTCGATTTAAACTAATTTACTTTTTAAAATTGAATGTGTAGGATTGTTAATTGATTGGTTTTGAGAATAACTGTAAGTATGGTATATATCTTCTGGCAGAACAAGTCACTGATACACTAAGATCAATTAAGGCCAAAAAAGTCAAAAAAAATTTAATTATCGTTGATTACTTATTTTGTCAAACTTATTGCTCTTTTGAATATTTCATAGTCTCACTACATTTTATATATTTACAATACTCTTTTTATTAATTGTTTCAATACGAACTACTCTTATTTGTTTACAAGTGATTTCATCTATAATTTGATTGTCCCTTTGTCTTTATACCTTCACAGTTTACAGATGTAGATTAGAGACGTGTATTAGTTTATGTAGTTTAAAAAATTACACTAATCTTAATGGTTTGATTATAGTCTCAACTGTAATACGAAATAATCCTCATTGTTTTCAAATCGAGAGATAACGTCGACTTACATAATCATTTGTACTTTATTCTAGCGATATGAATAGATGTAAGACTTGTGCTTAAATTTTATGTAAGGCTTTTCTTACTGCAAATTTCATTTCATCTTAGTTTACACATCCATTATCATTATGATTACCTGATTCCTGAAATAATTTCCTCTTAAATATAGTTTGTTAGCTTTTAAAGACTTTCCCTAAACTATCATTTTGTGTTTTGGTTGTGCATAATTTCCACTAAGTTTTAATGTGCGTATCTTCAACGACATTTTGGAAAAAGGAGAACGAATTTTAATGTAGTCGTCAAGTTCAATTATTTTTTCAGCCATGAGGGTTTGTTTATTGAGTAGAACTGACTACACAGGTTAATTAAATGTACTTTTTTAGCAGTTTTTTTAAACTTTATTTTTTTAAAATACATTTCAACTATTTTTGTTTACTCTTTGATTAGGCTTGGTGGACTGGATCAAAGTCTCTTTTCATTGTTGTTAAGCCATTATGACAGTGATAATAGTCCATTAGCAACATATTCATCAATGGACCTTTCAAAAAAGGGATATGTAACTGAATTAACAATTCAATATCGTATGAATTCTAAGATTATGGCATTATCAAATCAGTTAACTTATAAAAACAAAATGTCTTGTGCCAGTTCATGCGTATCACAAGCTACACTAAAGTTAAATCCTAATATCGTCTCAGATGAAATATCGGACAAGGTAAATTGTAATATAAGAGAAAAATAAACGTTCAATTTCTTCAATTTCTATTTTTTTTGTCGCTGTTGTTTGCTTATCACATTCTAGCTGTCAATTTTTTCTAACCAGTTACATATTATTAGCATTGTCTAATTAATCTTGGATGGATGTAATGTGAAGTATTTTTGTTTCGTCTGAATATGTAAAATATCGCATTGGAGGGAGTGGGATATTTGTGGAAAACCTAATAGGATTCACTATCATAATTCTAACTAATTAACATTAAGGACACATTGTGTGCACCATTTTAATGAGAGTGTTTTAGCATACGAAACTTGTGTGGATTGGAGATTTTTTTCGTATTCTAATGATTCTTTGAGGAAATCATTGCATGATTAAAATCTTTGAATTTATTAAGCTACTTGTCTCATTTTCACTGTTTACACATATAAAATCTGTTGGTTTTTTCTGTTTGTTTTTACATATTTAACCAAAAAAAATTATTTGTCCATTTATTAATCGTCGAGTTGCCTAACAAAACAGTTGGTTTGCATAGGAATTGGACACAATTAACAATAGTATTATTGCTTGTATTTATTTTTCTAAAAGATTTTTTATTGACACTTTGTATTGACTGTAAATTAATATGATTGCTATTAATTTATAAGAGCTTCTTCGCTTCATCTATCTCCCAAAACTAGTTACCTAGCAATTCACCTTTTTAAAATTTTCTCTAGTATGTGGTTCTAGTAGTGAACCAGTTGATATTATGTTTATTTAAGGTGTCGAATGACAAGTTGACAATACGCTAACATATTTTACGAAATTTATACATCAAACATCTGTGCCTTTTGGTAATATTATATATATATATATATATATATATATATATATATATATATATATATATATATATGACAGATCGGAATAAATCGCTACGCTTGATCAAAGATTATATCACTTGACCACAGTTAACTTTTATTTATTTTGTATACTCAAAAAATAACAGCGATTCTTGAAGAAAAATATTTTTCTCCGCATCTCCACTTTAAAACTCGTGTTCTACTGTTGCGATTGCCTTAAAGCATTAGGGTTGACAGATGCAGGATGACGTAGTGCTAGTCCGTTGCACATTAGTTAATGTAGATTCATCTATGTTTTTATTAATAACCAGAAAATGTGGTCCTTTAATAGTTCTGTCAAACTTAGAATAGTAAATTTATCAACTAATAACACACTGTAATATTTGCACACAGTTTAGTTTGTACAGTCATTATGTAGTTGTTTAATGAAATATGATTCTGTAACAGTAAACTGTAGATTATTGATAATCTGACTAGATATATTTTGAATGCACACGTTCATCCTTATTACGAGCTACAAACTGACTTCACATGCATCGTTTTCAATGAGTTATTTAATGAGCTTTTATTCCGAGCAAACTAAGCAGAAAGAAATTATAAATATGTGACATCAGGGTTGTTCATTCGATATTCACACAAAATCGACTACTTATATCACAGGGTGATGTTAATAGTAGTATGTCTTAGGATTGGTTTTTAACCTCAAACCATGTAAACAAATGTGAATGTTGTAGCAATTTCGCTTTCATTTTATAGTCTCTTTTTTGTCATTAATTTAAAACATTGATTTATTACATGAAATGTAACATGAATTCTATTGTATTACAAAATTGTAACTTGTCATTGTATGTTATGCTATGTCTAACCATTAAATAAATATTACATAGGAAATATGTAAATCCATAGATCATATCTCGAAATTAAAGAAAAAGTGTGCATTATTCTGTAACATTTATAAATGTATTGATTTTCTGTCTAATAGTTACTTTTATATCACTTCCTTGATTACCTCATTTTAAGCAAAGTATAATATATTTGTTTTAATTTTGAAAGTGATATTAATTAAAATTAATATCAATTAAATCATATAATTTATCATGTTTACATATATAAGAAATGGATAAAGAAACTAAAATGATTCTGGGTAGAGATTTCTATCTATTCCAATGTTTAAATTCTCCTTAAATTTATCATTACCATTTACAACATATAAATGTATTTAGACTGAATACCATCTGAATTTTCTCTTCTTTTTTTCTAAAAAAATAAAATATTTGTCTTCTTTTTAGTTGCCATTATGGATAAAACGTGTAAATAGTCCACTTCTTTCGGATTCTGTATTACTTTTAGATACAAAAATTGTAAGTACTCTTTTTGGATTTAATTAATAAATCTATTCAATACAAACATTATATGGTTCAAAGTAAGATTACTTATGGATAGGACATATTTGAAATTAACTACTTTCATTCTCCTGGTGTATGTTATCTGTACTATGATTGATTAATAACACCAATAGAAATTCTGTTCTTAATTATATCGATTAGATTGTGTTCTCTATACCATAAGAAAATCATTTTATTTTGTTGATATTCAGAAATGCGCAATATGCGCTAATCGAATTAAAAGTTTACTTAATCAAGTACTTAGTAGGTTTCTAAATCGTTTCAAAGTTGTTTTTTTACAATACTCCCTCTAGCTGAGATCAATATAATCTATCCATACCTCTATTGACTTGAAACTTGAAGGAACAAAACATCGGTTTGGTTCGCTGATTAACTTTACTAGCTTTCAGCCAAAGTGAATCAGTTACTAGTGTTATGTTATGTTATGAAAATTGTCTGGAAATATTTAGAGTTTAAGGTTTATTAACCCTTGATAACAAATGGCACTGTGATACCAATGTCAAAAATGATTGTCACCTATTAATGCAAAATATTTCTATGATTCTCTACTTGTAAATAAGTTCATAATTACTCCGTTAGCCATAATATTAATGCATCAAAATTCTTCTGTATTCATCTATGCTATTATCAAGATCCTCAACCTTTTATCGATTAGTTGTTGGGATGTACTAGGATTTTGAATGTTTGTTTTTAATACGAAAACGAAATAAATAGTACTCTCTTAAAGTAAAAATAATGGACTTTTTGGTATTCATGTCACCTCATATTCTATACACATGTTTCACATGTGCCCTGATCTTGGAAATGAAATAAAATGTGGTCTATTCAATTTTATACTTGGAACTATTTATTGTGTTGCTGAAATTATAAGTTCCGACTTTCTAATGAATCTTTGTTTCTTTTCACGTCGTTAGCTTGATTGTTGCAGCCTTTCTGCAAATGAATCTCGTACATCAAATTCTAATCCGATTGAAGCTCAATTAATTCTCTATATAATAAAACAAATCCATCATACAGTAAGTTAATGATCCCGCGAATTGTAAATTTTTTAAAATGTTAGATCTTTGTCAGATTTAACCTGATGATCTTTTTGTAAAGCATTTGATTGAACTGAACTCCTCATTTCTAGGAGTTGAATGCGGTAATATATATATATATATATATATATATATATATATATATATATATATATATATATCTTCAATCAGTCATTAATGTAAAATCTGACACGAATGTGGGTTGGTTCAATTTACTATACCACATTAGAACAATGAAATAATGCTAACGAAATGTGGTGTAAAAGAGATCGGTATTTGGATTTCAACCAGGTTTGGACCTAGCTCCAGATACTTCGGTTCGGACAACTGCTTGATATCATTAGTCCTCACGCTTAGAGTGTGGCTCATTCCTAAATGGAGTATGTTGTTATCATTATTATTTCGGTAGTAATGATTATGAAAAAGGCTAAGCACTGATATTATGATTCGGAAAAACAATGAAAAAGTATATGTGAAAGAATACTGGAATTCTAGACCGTATGTAAGTTATAGCGAATGCATTATGAATGATTCTGACCTATATTACCCAAATTCTTCAACAACTTATCGCGGTTATCGTGCGAGACCCAACGAAGTAGTCTATCTCTTTCTTAATAGCTCAAATCAGCAGTCAATGGTTTAAATACTAAAAGTCATTACAGAAATACTGTTTCTTAGATTACTTTTATGAAAAACGTGAATCAACGTTATCCAATGAATATTTCGATAAAGAAACTTTCTCACTACCGTTTTGCCGTAATTGTTTAGTACTGGGTAGTACTGCTGTATGTTACATTTCGTTACATTAGATTATATTTCCACTAACATTCATCAACAGATATTATTGTTCTGATCAATTCCTACTCCTATAGTTTCTTCTTAGAATGGATGACATAGGCGTTATCACACCACACAGGGCACAGGTTTATTTATTAAAAAATATGATGAAAGAGAATTCATTTGGATCAATTGAAGTGAATACAGTTGATCAATTTCAAGGTCGTGACAAAAGACTGATTTTACTCTCGCTAACTAATTGTCCATCTTCATTTTTAAGAACGAATGCAAATGAGGTAACCTTATTGATTTTTCAATAAATTCATTCAAAATGGTTTTACTGTTTCTTTGTATAGTTTTCTAAATTTTTATGACATAATATTCTTTGTCGTGAATTTGTTTACTTTCTGGTCGAAATACATTTGTGTCGATAATTACTTTAAAATTGCATCGAAGTCCATGATTCAATTCAAAATGTCCATAAACTCTCTTTTGTTATTCCTTGTTTTCAAGCATGTTCCAAATTATTTTCGTATCATTTGGTCATGGCATTACTCTTTTACAACAAATACTCACTTTATTTGAGTTATTTTTATGGAGATCAGTTTAATTTATAAGCTATATTGGTCTTTAGACATGTAGGTCCTGAGTTCGACCTCCGGCATAATCGTGATTGCACTATCAAGAAGTTGGATGCTAGGTCAAAACAACTTTGTAATGCTGGTTAGTTTACAATGGTTATCCGAATGAGATCAATCTGTGACGAACACAATCTGTAAATATGCTAGTTATGTCGAAATATACTTGGAAAGACTGTTAGTATGATAAAATTAATAATTAACTATCATAACAATAATCATCTGCAGATTTTATTTTTAAGTCTGTTTATCATTAAAACAATTGACTTAATGTGATATTTGATAAAGATAACTCATGAATTGATTTCCGGTACTAAACACATAATATGAATTTATCTGGCGATATTTTACGGTTGTAGCTTAATTTTTATTTATTTTTTGATGCTATAAAGTCATTTAGAATGTATCATCAGAGTAATTCGGACTAATGATTCTTTATATTTCATTACTACAATTATTAGAAGTGTTAATAATTTTGTCTAACATAGTGTCTTGCTTATGTGAATTGTAACCGTTAAAAGCTTCTAGTTTTTTCTCTCATTTACTAAGTATTATATTCTTAGTTTGGAATCACACTGATTAATTGGAGGAATAATATTCTTCCTGGCTTTTTAAACTAAAATAAGTTGAGTGTGGGTCAAGCTCACAACCTCCTGTTTTTTTACTTTGTTTTCATTTATATTTCTGCTTTAAATCACTAAACAAAATTGAAATTTTAAAGGTCATATATGCATTCATATATCTGATGACCTTTATCGACATTTTCTGTAATCTAATCCGATTTTTTTTATTTTTAATTTTTTACAAAATATCTTAGTGTATTGAATCAAATCGAAATCACTTACTCGATGATCTACCTCGCCTGACTGTTGCTTTAACTCGTGCTCAGCATAAACTGATCATTATCGGTTGTACCGGTCAGCATAATATACCAGAAAACAATTCAAATCAGATAACAAACCTTGAAAATTTATTTTCTTTTATTAAAGTTGTGATTGGTGGTTATGAGATTTTACCTTCAAATACTGTTACATGGATCAATACCAGTGAATAATGTAAAGATTTCGCGCATAGCTTTTTAAAAATGTCTTGTTTTAAATGTGCTCATATGTGTATACATTTTTTAAATGTGATTTGTTAGAGACAAATTATTTTTATACTTGTATACTAGGATTTTTTCTTTTAGATGATGTAACTTTTCAAACTTGTTTCTTTCAACTATTTTAGGTAAAATACTTCTTTAATTTATAAAATAAAATGCAAACTTGGTAAATGATATGTTGAAATTTATTTACCTTTTTTTGTGATTGAAGCTCTTCCAATTTGACACCTAGATAAATAATATTGAGCGTTCTCTGCAAGACCTGTAGGTCTTAGGTTCTATCACTGGTTGATGTACATTGCTGACAAGTTCCATACTAGGGCAAAACTCCTATTCAGTGCTTCCTGGTTTTCACTGGATGTTTGACTAAGATCAATCAGCAACATAAATAATCTTCACAAACCCTCCTACGGTAATCAAAAATAAAGTTCACTTAAGTACGTATAACCGCTGGTTACACCTCGTTGTTTCTTCATCGTCTTTACCTATACCCCTACTGATTGCAACAGGGATGAATTAAAAGATAAGTTCCATCAAAGTTGAGTTGACCGATTAAATGAGAATCATAAAATTCTTTTTGTCTCTCACTTAAATGATATTAGTTGCTGTCTCTTAAATCAACAAGGTAAATTTCTAGACTTATAATTCAATAGAGTTGTAATTCTATATAATGTCGGATGCAGTTAACTTATTTCCTGTATTCTTTAGTCTTACACATAAGGAAAAATTCCATTTAAAAATGCAACTTTGTATATTTAATTTGGAAGAAATGATATAAACTCATTATACTCATTAAAAGGAAATAAACATTTCAATTAAACAGAATATTTTAAAGACCAGTTCACCTTCAAAAGCTGTATATTCGGAGTTATGTAAAATAGTTAATGTCATGACAAGTTTATGTGTCAATTTTTATGGTTAAAATTCATGCGATGTAGTTACTACTAATGGATATAAAAGTTAAATGAGTTATTAGACTGAATGGAATTTCTATGACATCCTAAAGGAAAATTGTCAAAGGCAATCAAATGTTGAAAGATTATGTCTATATTTTTAATAAGTAAATAAAAGCAATCGTAAACGACTTATTATTTAATAAACATAATTAGTGAATTCTTGTTGATGTTTGAATGGAGTGCAACAAGAAGGATTCGACTTCATAGAAATTTTGGATCAAATAAATAAATAAAAAGGAATTTAAAAGTATACAAAGGACTACGTCGATGCTTTCTTAAATTACATGAAATCATATCCTCTAATATATTAGGTTCAAGGGTTTCCAGTTAAAATTAATTGATTTCATTTGTTATGTTTTTATCATTCTTATCACCTAAAATCAAACTTCATTATCATCTAAAAAGACTTGCATTTACCTACGTAACTTAACATAAGTGTTTACCATTTATGCCCTTGACCTTTATCATTTCGAGTCTGCTTGATGATTGATTTATTAACATATTTCATCCACCAGTGTTGCTGCCCTTGACAAATTTCACTTATGGGCTTTCAATCAAGCAAATCTATTACTACATTTTTTGCTTTACTTATATACGATTGTTAAAATTGCGAAAATGAAATCGTCGGAAAAGATATATACGAATTAATTTATTTCATTGGCATACATGCTTCTCATAATCGTACTACATAACGTCACTGATCACATAGGAAATATGTTAAATGTTAACAACTTGAAAGACAAGCCAAGTTAATCCATCGACAATCACACTAAACACAATAAAGTCTCTAAATAATGGTGGCCATGATTTGACTAATAATGAGAACATCTATAAGCAGAGTGGCAGTGGTCAGATTTTTTGTTAAATAATGGAAGCAATCGAATAGCTATGATAAATTAAAGGTAATCAGGTAAAGAGTGGTAGCGAGGATAAAAAACGTTAGTAAGAATCATAGAGCAAAGTAAAATGGAATAATGAGTTGCAGGTTGGGATTTAGCTACCGCGTTCTCACTTTTCAAGAAATATATCTAAGGCTTCCGGTCATTTTCCCGTTTACATAGTAGTTGGGTGCTGCACATATAAGTGTGAAGGTTTTATTTCAAGCGCCTGGATATATCTGCAACTATGTGCTATGAAGATGTCAGTGAGCTGCAACCCAACATACAGGATGAAAAATAAATTTATTAAGATTTAGGGACTTATGATGGGATCTCTAATAAAAATTGTATCAGTATACAGCGCTCACCAATTTTATAAATGGATAAGCGACCGAAAGGGTCGAATATAACAGTAATTGAAAGTTGAAGCGTGGTGGGCAACCTCAGCTAAGTCATTCTCAGGTGGATCTTAAACGTTGCTCATGTTTCTGAGCTAGACGGACGAAATGCCACTTCGAATGAAATTGATCTGCCTATTCGCTGCTCAGAAATCTATATTTAAATTTAATGATTGATCAGCATTGTCATTGCTAAACAAGCACTATAACTTGTTCCTTAATATTAAACGCTACCCTAACCTAGTTATGTTGAAGAAACAAGTTATGACTGTTACTAAGATGCTTAAAGTGATGTGACTATTCCAAGGAAATACAAACACTGTGATCCGTTGAAAACATTACTGGATTTGGTTTAATGAGTAAATTTCAAGAAACCTTTCATATCTACCCTTTATTCATCAACTTAGATTCGACAGGTTGGTTTCATTTTGAAATCTCAAATATCCAACCTGACGGTTGTATGCGTTGGCTGAATTAGACTTTTTCGGTTGACTAAAAATAAAAAGCGATTAACAAGATCAAAATATAAAGTGTGAAACTTAACCCACTTGTACGCGCTGCATCACTGTGGTTATTTTTATTCATGTTGACCTATTATCCAAACTAAATATATGGTGGTGACTGTAGTTGATAACAACTGTAATTAATGCCTTATCTACAAAATTTTCTTTTGAATATTTTATACTAGAACAAAATTCCTTATCTACGTAAACATGGAGTTTGGGAATGGAATTTTCTCTGTTTGTTCACTTATTTATGGGGTAATGTTGTACATCATAAATCTCTTTGTCTTTGACATTTCAAATTTATATAGCTATCTTTTACAAATCTATACTTTCTTCAATGGTTTGACATAAATGAATATTGAACCAAATTGTGGTACATACTTTATTCATAAAAAAATTTAAATATGTGTTACACTACAATAGTTGCCCAAAGTATTCAGTACTATGAATCCAGTAAGGTAGATGACATGTCTGTAGTTTAAAGATATTTTACGTCAAGAGCTGACACCAACTACAAAATCACTGTAAAGCAGAAATAACCAAGTTGTTTATTCTATTTTTAGACTCGATACTAGTGTGCACTCAAATCCACCCTAATAATGATCCCCGTAGTTCCTGTCCCCGTAACAATTACAGTAGTCTTTAAACCAATGAACCAAAATTGAATGTAATTCACTTGATATTGTTTTACTTGAATCTTCCCATTGATGTTTAGGATTGCAATTGAACAGTCTCTCATATTGGCACATGTGCATACTGTGCGTATTGCCTCGATATTGCCTTAATATACAAGCATTATAAGCAAAGATGGATAGTGGCTAGCAGTGGAATCCAGCACGCGCGTTTCGTCCTATTTGGGACTCGTCAGCTGGATGTACCTGCATCTCAGAGTTGATGTTCACAAGCAAGTGGCTATCAGGACTCAGTAGATAAGTGGATAACGCGATGGCGTTTGAAGCGAACGGTACTGGGTTCGAGTTCCGGAGTGAACATCAATTTTGAGATGCAGGTACATCCAGCTGACGAGTCGCAAATAGGACGAAACGCGCGTACTAGATTCCCATGCTAGCCACTATCCATCTTTGCTTACAAAATTGAATGGTTCGTGTTATGATTTCAGTGAGCTTATTATGTAACATGTTCCTCAGCCAACGTTAATTTTAAGTTAAAATCCCACTCTCTAACCATTTAAGTGCACTGGGTCTAAGTTTTTGTCGGAACTTATCCTTGGAATATCAGTTTTTAACTAAAGGTGATGATGAAAACACCGATAATGTGTAGTCCCATGTACTTTCTGTTAGCTCCATTGTTCGCATTATTAACGATTTAATAGATTTGTGCACATGGTTCTGAGTCTAACCTATGAGGACATACAGAGATCTTTTAATAAAAGAAAAACGGAATCATGACTCTCGTATGACCATAAACAAATAGGTTGTTCGATGGATTAAATTCAATGTAGCCTACCTTTATAAAATAAAGGTTTGATGACTTCGGTTTATGTATCTAGTGAGAAAAGTAATATGATGAGGATAAGTAGATTACGTGAAAATTATATACTAGCCAGGTAATCTATTACCGTCAGCCGAGAAGATTTAGATGTACTTTCCTAAGTTGAGCGTTCAGCCCTGGCTTTTCGTAACGTGTTAGAAATTAAATTGATAACGAAAAGACATTGGTTTGATTTACTTTGAATGCTATGTATTTAAAAAAATTCCAGACATTTTACCACTGGAACTTGTAAGATTCGCAATGTATGTAATAAAATATGATCTCGCACAACAAAGTCATAATTTCTGTCAAAGAAAATTTAATATTATCAAATATAGATAGCTCTAATTTCTCAACAAATAGTTAGCACAAGGTAACTTTAATCAGTACGTGATAAAATGATGCTTCTGAAGGTTTACACACTTCAGTCAGGTCGTTCAAATGCAATACCATTACGTGAAGAATCATCAACTTTCTAAATGTATAAAACAAGTACATCAACAAGTTACTTATTCCAAAATAGCTTTATATGGTGTATGCCAATAGACTAGAAACCTAAGTGAAGGGCTTTCAGTTGATTAATTTACACAAATTCACGTCAAAAGATTCTCCAAAATACTCACATGGTTCTATTTTTCATGCCGTAAATCTGATAGATGAAAATGCATCAACTCTGTTAGTGAAATTTTTGCTTTATCCGATTAGGTATATTTTATGTTAGATAGATATCATTACTTGACAAATTGAAACCTTCAAGGTAGAATGTTGGTAAATTTTAGCTTGTTTG